ATGAGTCGAGTTAGACTCAAAGCTGCTCCTCAGATAAATAATGTTAAATTATTATTTTTATGTTTATGTTCAGTGCCCTGAGACGACTTCTGTTGTGACTTGGAGCTTTAGAAATAAACTGAACTGAACACTGATCTCATAAATTAAACACAGTGGAGAAAACTGATTTTCAGTGAACGCAGCACGATGTGAACGTTAAGAGGAACCACAGATGAGGAGAAGGGATTTTTTTTTTTTTTCCAGCGCCCAACAAGAAAAGTCACATTTTTTTTTGTACACTAAATCTGAACCACAAAAGACAGGGTTGTGTTTTTCTTTCAGATTTTTGCGTGGGAAGAGACTTCAAACACTTAAATATACGTTCTCCGTTACAGAAAAAAAACGAACATTTCCATAACATGTAACCTTTAAATGATCCGAAGTCATAAAAGAGTCTGCTAAAGAACGTTCAGCTGTCATCCTGATGGACGTTCGTGACCAGGTCCATTATCATTCCTTGAAACCATATTCCTGTGCTCTCCTGTTTGCAGGCGTCCTGCTCGACATCCAGAACGATTTCGTCGTGACAGACAGCAACGCGGGCTTGTTGCAAACAGGTGAGTCTGCTTTAATCCTTTGATTGCGCGTGTGAGGAGTTAGCTCGACACCCGAGAGCTTTTTCTGTTTGATGACTGTAATTACGCTGTAACTCTAATTTTAAATGAGAGGGACGACAGAAAGCAGTTGTGGTCATTCCACATCTGCCTTCTGATCTCAGACTGTGAGGAAGGACTCCCTGCAAACACAACCAGCCGAGTGTTTCCATGTTTCACACACAAGCGCTCATTAGTTCAGTTTACAGATGTTTCAAACACAATATATTAACACGGATAGAGTAGGCAAGCTTGTGATCAGAAGGTCGCCAGCTCAAATCTCCGAACAGACAACATCAAAATGTGGGTGAGAAAGGCGAAGCACCTACACCTGCCTCCACCCTCATTTGCCCCATTCTGGGCCCTTGAGCAAGGCCCTTAACCCCCACCATCTGCTCCCCCGGGTGTCCTAGATGGCAGCTCTTTGCTGCACACAGAGGCTGTGGTAGCTCGGTGGACAAAAATCACCAAGTCTTCATGTGTTTACTGCGGTGACCCCTGACGAAGGAGCAGCTGAAAGAATAAAAATTAAAATTAAAGTATTTTCTGAATGCATGTTTCCTGCTGCTTTTCATGCCAGAGTTTTAGACTAAAGCATCATATGTTGGAAAAATGAAGAACTTGTGGCAGTTTTACCTTAAAAACTTTGCTTTGTGCAGTCTCGTATTACACATGAGTCTTGGCTACCTACGTCTGTAAATTTCAAGGTCAAGGAGGAGGTCAAGGAGACTTTATTGTCATTCGCACCACATATGGTACCCCCCCCCCCCCAGGGGTGTCAAAGTCACTTACAAAACGGGGCCAAAATTAAAACCCTTTTCAAAATAAGAGCTGGTTTCAGAATCTACATGAACTCAAATCAGACACCCAGCATCTTTTCTTGGTCGCAGGTTCTTCAACAAGAGTTTGGTTGGTCTCATTTGATGTCCTCTGTTGCACTTTTAACATCGTAATCAAAGATTACTGAAAAAAAAATAAAACGATAAAAGTATTTGACATTTAAAATGACATCTTGGGGGCCAGGTAAGATTTCAACGAGGGCCACATTTGGCCGCTGGGCCTTGAGTTTGACGCATAGAGTATAATAAAAATAAACAGGAAATGGACTGTACCTACATTTTAACACAAAGAAACCGTCCAGAGGACCTGACTTAACGTTGATGGATTGTTTTACCTGGATTATTGAGCCTGAGCTTTGATGGACTGTACTTATAAAGCACCTTTCTATCTTATCCAGGTACTCAAAGCTCTTCACAACAATCTGTGCCTCATTTACCCATTCATACAGCTCTATACTAGATCTGTACAGACAAATCAGTGCTTTCAGTAGTTCTCAAATTGGGGTCCCCGGGATTCCACGAGCCGGTGCTTGGGGGTCTGCAAAAAACACAAACAAACAAACAAAATATATATATATGAATACAAACACATAGATGTTTAACAACCTGTTAAAATACACCAAAATGCAGGAAATCACATCTACTTTATAAAAAAGTATCTGGTGGAGGACCCCCCCCCCCCGCCCCGTTGTTCGTGAAATATTTTGCTAACAGACAGACTGAGCTGATTCTAATGATTAATGACAAAATTTTACACAAAAATCTTGTGCGATCTGTTAGTGCTCATGCTGTGTAACGTGGATCAGCATCAGCTACTACCACACTACATTTTAACTCGGGATCTG